AGGGTTTAGGGTTGAGGGCTTGGGCTTTGGGATTTTTTTTGAAGTGCAGAGGCCCTCGGGCTTTGGTTTTAGGGTTCATGGTTTAGGGTTAAGGCCTAGGATTCCGGTTTAGGATGTAGGGTGCAGGATTCAGGGTCCGGGCGTTGATCCAGTAATTTAGGGTTCAGAGTTGAGGGTGTAGGGTTCTGGCTTTAAGGTCCCTAAACCCTAAACCCTAAACCCTAAACCCTAAACCCTAAACCCTAAACCCTAAACCCTAAACCCTAAACCCTAAATCGGGCTGAGGGCTTCAGGCTTCCGGGCTTAGGTTTTCGGATTGAGGGCTTCGGGCTCATGGTTTTAAAAGTGATACGGAGTTCTTGTTAGGCTGTAGGGCCTCTTACATATTTCAAGGGGTTTATTGGAGTCGACATCCTGAGTTCAATACAATTCAACTTGGTACGTACATATGTAAAGCCATAATAATTGCATCCAAAACTCTACTTCCAAACAAGCACACACAGATAGATTCGATTAAATGAGATCAGGTTAGATTAGGATTAGATTAAATTAGACTCAATTACACAAGAGCAGAGTAGATTAGATTAGATTAGCTAGAAAGATCGATAGATAGATCGATAGATCGATCGATAGATAGATAGAGATGGAGCGAGACACGAAGAGAGAGTGATACTTATTGAGAAATATGTATACTGTATACTAATGCGTTCCTGTCATGGTAACTTAGACGCTTTCCGTGACAAGAGATCAAGATAGGCCTCAGGAGTCAGGTGACTTTATTAACATAACTTGAGGGCGATCCAGCGTTGTGGACTAAACCCTACCGTACACCCCTAATCAATAATCCCGCTCTCCTAAAAGGGCCTGTTTGTCAGGATCCGAAATCATCCTTATTCCGGGAAGGGGGCTGACTAGTCAGGGGTCTACAAACCCTTCCTTGACCCCGCCCCCCTCCAAAAACAACACTGCCTTATTCCGACCCATTGTCAACTGTTTGGGAGGACAAGGCGAGATCATCACTCAGAACTTTTCAGACGTATCACATCATTACTTGGAACTTTTCAGACCCTGTACTTACTTCCCCAATAAGCCAAGGGAATAAAAGGTTAAACTTCAGATTGCTACTAAACCCAATAAGTTTAAAGGTTGGGTATTGAAAAAACTAAGTGTATCACATTGAGTTTCTGAGTTTCGGCGTTCGGCCGTTGGGGCTTTGGAGTTGGGACAAGACTCGGAGCAGTGGCTACACCTTTCGCCTCCTTATATCGCGCAGTATAGCAATCCAAGGAGGCAAAAAGTCGCAAGATGCAACCAGAAGAGAGCCAAGATGTAACTAGCCTGTTGTAGCTGCGCTTGCTAAATCACTCGGGCAATGAACCTCCGCCTTCGAAAAGCCTTGAAATTGGAATCCTACTTATAACATGCAAAAACCCTTTTTGAATTTGTTGGGTACGGGGCTTTATTCTAGCTCGATGGTTGCCGCACAAAAGCTACTCCCTCAGCACCCTCCATGCTCGCTCGTACTACAAACCTTTCTGTGGACATCTTCGCTAATTACACGCTAAACTTTGCTGCTGAACCCTAAGCCTCAGCGCAAACCTCAAAGCATTAGCACCCGAAGCTGAACACCCATACTTCGATGCTCTCCACCCCGATCCATCCTCCCCCCCCCCCTGTGTTGCACGCAATTGTGGTTATGATTGCTGTTGGGGTTTAGGGTTTAGGGTTTAGGGTTGAGGGTTTAGGGTTTAGGGTGTCTCCACGATAATGAAAGGTTGTGCCTGCACGATCGGAGTGGATCCAAGCTTGTACACGAACTCTCCGCGCACCACCGATGCGCTCCGCGGTGGCTGTGCGATCGTCACCGGCATTGCTGCATCTGCGGATACGGTTTACTTAATCTACAGTATGATTCTTTTTTCTGGCTAACCACTGCTATATCTTAGGATCTTGATCATGTCATAAAACTAGGTTAGTTAACCAGAAAGAGAACTATAATCGAGACCCCCCAGATCTTCCAATAGAGCCCTTGATTAAGGAGTATGCCTTAGATCATATCAGGGATCCTACTATAACTTAAGGCCTCACCCTAAGGTTATTGGAAGGTCTGGGTAATGTAGGGGCCTTAATAATTAGAATCTGGTTTTGGGGCCCTTTATAGTAGAATTATCATAAAGGACCCCCAAAGTAGTATACGGAATTATTAAGGCCCCCCTGAACCCTAAACCCTAAACCCTAAAATCCTAAACCGTACACCCTAAACCACTCTTTAGGCCCCTATGTTAGCCAAGGCCCCTTATATGGGTAGTTCTCTAAATTAGGGGCCCTTTTTGAGGCCCCAATATACTACGGCACCCTTCTAAAAAGGACCCTAACAAGGACCCTAACTATGAGAACTACCCATATTATCACTGAGGTTCGGGATTTGAAGGTTGCAGGCTTCGGGCTGAACTTGGGTTCAGGGTGCAGTTCCCAGCTTCCTGGTTTAGGATCGGCGCTCAAGTTAAGGTTTAGGGGTTTAGGGGTTTAGGGGTTTAGGGGTTTACGGTTTAGGGGTTTAGGGGTTTAGGGGTTTAGGGTTTAGGGGTTTGGGGCTTTAGGGTTTAGGGGTTTAGGGCTCCGGGTTTCGTTTCGAAGTTTGGATATAGCACAGCAGGAGAAGCTACGACTGAGAAAGTTGACCTGCTATGCAGAGGCAGCGCTAATCCCAGTTTCCTGTGTCTTTTGGGTGTTTGGCGGACAACCAAACCCCGAGGCCAACTTTGGAAGTTCGGGCTCGCAGGAACAAGTGAAAATCGCGAAACGTCCAAAGATCGAATCTGAAAACCACCACTCAAGCCCTACGAAGCTGATCAAACCAGGAAGTTAACATAATGCAGCCAAGGATCTATTTGTGTATAACCCCAGTGCGGCTCACGTAAGCCTCACTTACTTGGTCACCTGATCCTCCAAGTAAGCCAGGGCATGCAAAAACTCGCACGACTACAAGGGCTTAGGGTTAGTGAGGAACGCTCCTTAGAGCTGCTAACTCTGAACCCCAACTTCCGGAAAGACTACACCCTGGCAAACCCAAACAAACCCAAGCCTGGTACGGATTCCTTGCCTACCCAAGTGGATGCATCGGCCGCGTCGAAGGAGGCGGACGGAGGCGTGAGGCAGAACAGCGAAGCCTTGTGGCATTGGGCGTGTACAGGGCCTGCACCCTGAAGCATGAGACCTAACCGTCAGATCTGCGCCAGGGATCGCAACTGTAAGGTTCCCACTTCGGCTTTGGATAACGCGATGGCGCACTGGACCTACAACACGACAAAGAAGGACCGAACTTTACGGCTGTTCTCGTACATATTGCATAGCTATGTACACCAAAATAAGAACAAGTATAGCCGCAGCAACCAGCCACGACGGTGCTCGGGCAGTACTAGCCCTTTCACGAACCTCAGCCCCGAAACCCAAACAAAAGCCCAAAGCCCTCAAGTCCTACTTGGAGGTTCATGGGTAGATATAAGTAGGCTTGTAAGTAGGGTGACTATAGTTATAACCTATATTAGGGGACTTATAACTCTACTTGTAACTACCCATGAACCAAGTAAACCCGCAAAGCCACTCCAACAAAACGACTTGTAGCATGTAAACCCAGGAATCCCAAAATGCTCAGCCTCTACACCTAAAAGCCTAGACCACCACACCCTAAAACCCCCTGAACCACAACATCTTACACCCATTGGACCCCAACCCCAGAAACTACAAAACCCCAAACCGCCCGAATTCTTCAACCGACTACGTACTCACCTCAAAACCCCAAACCCTCAACCCTAAACCCCTAAACCCTGACACTACAGAAGCCGTATGGGAATCCTGAAACCGCCCAAAACCAAAAACAACAAAACAAAAAAAACACTTTGCCGCCTTGCCGGAGGCTATAGGTGCAGCCCCCAGGAAAGGCTGAGAGCATTGACGGCCCCCTACGAGGACCTGGTCTTGCTTGTCTTATAGTCTGCAAACCACCCTAAACCCTAAACCCTAAACCCTAAACCCTAAACCCTAAACCCTAAACCCTAAACCCTAAACCCTAAACCCACAGGGAATTCATTTAAGGCTTTAGGGATTAAGGTCTCGGATGTAGGGTCTACCTTGACCCCCCCAATACCCTACCTTTCTAAGGACTTGCAAGGAAATCATCCCTAAAAAGGAAGGCTTCATAGGGTTCCAGCTAAGATTTGGAGGCTCAAGGTCTGGGATTTGGGATTGACGGGTCCAGGATTTTGAGTTTAAGCTTAGAGTCTGGGAGGTTTAGGGTTTAGGGTTTAGGGTGTTGGGTTGAAGTCTGGGATGTAACCCTAGTCCCAGGTCGCTTCCGGGGGTGGGTTTAGGGTTTAGGGTCTGGGATTTAGGGTTGAGGGTTTAGGGTTTATATAGGTTACAGGGATAGGGCGGTCGGATCGGCGCTTCCGGGCTTAAGGCTACAATTCCCAAGCAGGAAACCGACTATACTGCAGGGGCCAGAAGACAGTGCTGTAGGTCTGAAATATGGTATAGTTAGTTGAAAGCAGGGCTTCTAAACCAAGCAGTTCAGTTTTTCCCGCCTGCTTAAGGCTTAGGGTGCTTCGAGTTGCAAGTACGTTTAGTATGGAGGATCGTATGGCCCTAAGCCCGAAACCCTCAACCGTGAACCTCCTTTTCATTAGGAGTTAGGATTAGGGGGAACCCTTGGGGATATAGACCCTCTCAAATAATAAGGTCCCTTTATTTGAGAGCGATAAGTAAGGATAAGAGGGGTCCCCTTTAAGGGGTCTCCCTCATACTACCTAGGATTCATATATAAAATATAGGGGCCGAAAGAGTGGCATTGCTAATTACTCAGGCGTCCACAGTTGCAAAGAGAGACTTGCGGGCGCATATGAGATGTATATACGAAGAAACCCTAAATACCAATAGGATCAGACCATGAACCCAGATCCCCCTAAACCCTAAACCCTCAACCCTAAACCCTAAACCCTAAACCCTAAACCCTAAACCCTAGGTAATAATAGTATCAGACCATGAACCCAGATCTCCCTAAACCCTAAACCCTCAACCCTAACCCCTAAACCCTCACGGTCTGAAAACCGAAGCCCTAGAACCTCCGAGTCTTAAACCATGCAGCACATCCCCAAGGGGTACCTGTAGCCGGAAAGACCTACCTCTTTGAGGGCCCTTTGTATGGGTTCTATATATATATAATCCCTAAACCCTATAAACCCTAAACCCTTAAAAAGGTAGGTCTTTTCGGTTACAAGTATGGCATAGGGCCTAAGCCATCTTCCGCAAAACCCTGCAGCAGAATCGGAAAATCCCACGTCCTCAGACGGAAACTTTCCAAAGCAAAACACAAGGCAACAAACTACCTATGAGCTAACCCGGCTCATAAACAGGTCCGGGAGCAAGTAGTGTTAGTACCACCACCTGAGAGCGACCCTATAACACGATACTATGATCTCGAAACCTATTCTAATCAGAACAGCTCCTATATTTAACTTCTCAAACCGCTAATGACCATAAGACCCATTAATTCTCCATAAAAGCAACCTCGAAAAGTCTACAAAGTTCAGTGCCGCGTAGTCGCGTCGGAACACTGCAGATTTCGCACGCCGCTTCCTGATAGCCGCAGAAGCGTACCGCCCGCCTCGATAGGGCTTAATGAAGGGACTTGAATAATTACCAATGCTAATTTGGGGGTTCCTCATTATGACATAACGGGCACCGAAGCCTTACTCTAGTTATACAGGCCCCTATAGTATCAAGTTTCGAACCCCCTTGAGGGGTCTTCATGATTTCGATGGATTTGGAGCCACATTAAATCGAGTCCCTGTCGGAGAGCCCTCAGCAAGCACTTGACGCAAAGGTTGGTCCAAATTGATTGAATCATCCCCTCCATCCAACACATGCACCGAAAGCTGGATTCACAGAACTCACGCGGTACAATCAAAGGAGCCCAATTTTGAAGGGTTAGGATTAAAGACCAGCTCTGGTAAGGGATTGGAATGTCTGTGTGACGTGTTGAGAATCTTGTGATGAGTGTGCCAGAAGAGAAACTTCCATATACTTCTAAACAAGGAGTATGACTATACCTTCCAGCATACAGGGCTTCTTTTGATGCGGGTTTTTCCATCTGCCGTCAAGGTGTGCCAGGGTGTAAGTGTATGGGCTAATGTTCTGGTTTTGGAGTTTCAAAACCTTGATCAGGGCAAAGAACAATGACAATGCTAGTCAAAGCAAGAACATGAGCGACTTCCCACAAACTCCAATATCCTTTAATTAAGGAATATACCTTAAATTATAGTAGGATCCCTAATATGATTTAAGGTATATTCCTGAATTAAGGGATGTTGGAGTCTCTGGGTTATTCAAGCCCATACATTGGCCATTGGAAAGCCCAGCAGCAAGAGATCCGAAGTGTGGCTGGAAATCCTTCTGCCAGCTTTTGTCAGGCGTTGCACGTTTAGGGTTTATTCAGGGTTGCGGGTTTGGGGCTTAGGCGTGCAAGGTATCCATACGGCGTTGTAGGGCGTTCATACGGTTTCGTACTTTTCTTCTGTCGGGTTTAGGGTTTCGGGGTAGTTGGCTTTCAACCAGGGGTGTATCAGGTTCTAGATGGGTTTCCTGCTCTTCATCAGCCGTATGGGTTGGAGCCAAATTTGTTAGGTTTCAGGATGTTTCTTTGAGATGAACGCCTAAAACCCTAAACCCTAAACCCCTAAATCCTAAAGCCTAACCCCTAAACCCTAAACCCTAAACCTGGGTTGCGGGTGTCAAGCTTTAAGGGACTGAGGGATCTCCATGGAGAACTGAATGAGGGTCTACTTGGAGGTTCATGGGTAGTTTTTAGTAGGGTTTAAAATTGGGGGTTATAAGGGTGATCTTTCAGGGGTTTATAAGGGGGCATGCTTGGAGGTTCATGGGTAGTTATAAGTAGGGTTTACAAGTAGGATACTTACAGTTGTAGACTATACCAGGAGAATTGGACAATGGATTCCAAAGAAGTCCGGCAAAAGATCCAAGAAAGCTTAACCTGGGCAAGGTAGCATGAAATTCTTGAGCATGGAAATGCCCTGAACTCCGCCAAAATTAACAATAAAAAAACGTAAAGCAAAAGTGATGGGCAGGTTGGCGGCGTAGCATTCAGTTTCGGGTTGGGGGTGTTGACGTGTACGGTTGCCGTGGAACAGCATGCAGGCTAACAGCTTACGGGTACACCAGCTGGATTCGAGTGCCCTGCCTGTAGCTGTCAATTAAGGCGCGACTGTCGAGGGCCTTTCCTTACGCTGTCTCACGTGACAAAATCCCTCCCTAAACCCTAAACCCTAAAACCCTAAACCCCAAACCCTAAACCCTATAAACCCTAAAACCCTAAACCCCAAACCATAAACCCTAAACCCCTACAGCTCTCAAACGCAGCAATTTTACTTGACAACAACAGCTGCTTCCATCCTTACGGTCGGCCCCATCCATCTAGGCCGAAACTCGGTAGTAGGGTCCCAAACATGTCGGTATAAGAACAACCAAAAAGGATCCGACCTATATCTAAAACCCTAAACCCTAAACCCCTAGAAATTCTCGGAAAGTCCTCGAGCACGAGATCCACTGAGATCAATGGTGCTGTATCTGGGTTCGCCTTGCCTGGCGGTAGTGGCAGGGGTGGTGCCGGGTAGGTTTAGGGTTCAAGGATGCTTCGGGTCTACAATACAGGGGAATTAAATTGTTTTAATAGGGTTTTGGGGCCCATTATACTATATTTAAAACAAGGAACCCCCAAAATAGTATTTGTGATTCTTTAGGCCCCTACATTAGGCATTAACTAACAGTCGCGGTCACGCATACGGTCAGCTCTGGCCATTAGAAGAACACGTCTAACGGCAAGGCACTGCGGATAGTCTTACTACTGCTACTGTTGATGGACAAAATCCTGCATGACCTTAAGGACCTTAAACTATGGGAATTATGGTATATTCCTTATAATGGGTAATGCAGGGTTTTGTCCATCAACAGTACTACTCGTCTAAGCTAGAGGTGAAATTCTCACGCTTGGACTCCCAATGAGAAAACCTACAGTCGCTTTCGTTTCAAAAAATCCTGAGACACATGTCGCACTCGCACCCCAAAGCTCACAACCTTGAACCCAGACATGAAGACATTGAGGTTACCCTAAACCCTAAACCCTAAACCCCAAACCCTAAACCCTAAACCCTAAACCCCTAAACCCTAAACCCTGAACCCCTGGACTAAAAGGCAGAAAATAACAACGTAAGGAACGTAGTCATGCTATCTTTCTCGAAGTTCACACTTCATGCTCTTTAGGGCACCCCCTTTTAAAGACCTGAACATGGGGACTCTGGCATGCCTTACTTGAGCCTTCTTGGGGCTCCCTGACGCAGCTCAGTTTAGGGTTTAGGGTTTAGGGGTCAAGTGGTTTTGGGGTTGAGGATTTAGGGTCTTTGGGGTTAATGTAGGGGCCTTAGTACTTAGAATAGTTGTGGGGCCCATTATAGTATAATTTAGGAAGGAACCCCCAAAATAGTATTGGTAATTATTTAGGCCCCTATATCAGTTTAACGGAAGTTCTTGAAGCCATAGACAAGCGACAAACCCGTGAACATTCAACGAGACACAGCAGGTTTTTATAGGTTAACGTAGGCCATGACTCATAAACCAATGTTGTTTGAGGGCTCTATATTCGGATCTCTATTGTACTCCTGGCTTCATTGAGGCTTATTCCTCGATATGGGCGCATGCCCACTGAACAGCCGGAATCAACAGCATCACCTTCAACAACAACATGAAACACAGTTGTCATGACAGTGATGCGGCTCTTCAACGAAACCGACTTCAGGGCGCCTTAGCAGCGCGCATTTGAGCCCGGCGAACTCATGGCCCAGGTCTACATCCCAAGCTCGAAACCTCAAGCCCGCAGCCCTTCACCCCTAAGCCCAAGCCATGAAGCCCAAACCTAAACCCTAAACCCT